GAGGAGGAGGAGGAGGAGGAGGAGGAGGCGAGGAGTAGGAGGACGAGGAGGATGACGCGGAGGCTTCAGGAAGGCTTCAGGACGTCTGAGGATTTCAGGAGGCTCTAGAGGAGGGAGGGAGGAGGAGGAGAGGTAGGACGGGGGCAGGAGGAACGCGCTACACTGGACCTACGAGGCCGCTTGGCGGGGACGATGTCGAAACGGCGGCTTTGAACCTGCACGCTTCGAGGGTGGCAGGATTGGGAGCACCAGTCAGGCTTAGGTGCTCAGCTCATGTCGTAATCTGCATCGCAATCGCTATCATAATCATGCGGAGCTCCCAACTCCAAAGCTTCAGGGTACAGGAGGCCGTGATCTTTGAGGATGGCGGCCGTGTCCAGGCAACGCTGAGATTCTACCCTTCTCTTCCCTCGATGCCTCGCTGGTGCCTGGACCGCTCCGTACAAAGGGTCGGTCCATCCTTTTATCTTGCATAAGGCAGCACGCACACCTGGCGAGAGCCGCCGAGAATGTAGCAGTCGCATCTGCTTCTTAGAGGTTTGCGGGTGCCTCAAATTCTCGAAGAGACGGGTGTTCTCAGCGATATGTCCGTTGCTGCCTGTTCTCCGCCACCACTAAGCCGTGCATCCGCGTGGACGCGTGGGCAAGTCACGCCAAACGCGCGCTTGTGCCAGGAGAACAGACATATGCACGCCAAACGCGTCCGCGATTCAGCCTGCCAATCGCAAAGCCATTGCGATGACGACGACGAAGACGGATGAAGATACACGGAGACCTGTCGATATTGAGTCATTTCGTATGTTGCACTTCCCCAGCGCTGCCTCGGCCTCCCTCTTTTTCTGCGCACAGCACGTTGCTTAGGAGCACCATCGCGTACGGTTTTGACCATGTTTGAATCGCTTCCTTGGCAATCTTGCGATGTAGTGCCACCTGCTTGTCCAATCTGATCTCGGATAGAGGCGTCGCCCCAGCCTTGTCCAGAACAGTGGCAGTGCTAACCCTTGAGAGAAGGACGGCGGAATGCCCAAGAGAAGTCCGACGCATCTACAGTGGAAAAGCGTCCAAGCGTGCCCTGGTCGCTGCGAGCAGCCAAGCGGTGTCCAGTGGATACGGGAGCTCTCTCACAGCACAACTTCTGTATGTTTTATGTTTTCTCCTGCGGCCCACTGCAGCATGAGCTCACATCTTGCTTAGATCTCTGAGAATCTTGCTCGCTTCCCCGAGTCGCCGCGAAACTTCCGACGTCGCTCTGCCATCACGTGTGATGAGTCCTCCAAGGTAAACGGCTTCCCTGGCAGTTTTTCTTGTTTCACCTCTAGGTCCGGAAATGGACTCCCGAGTGGAGATTTGTATTTGTACAGTTTTCCCCCAATTCAGTTCTAATCAATATTTCGCGCCTTCTTCCAGAGTAGTTGTAAGCATTTGTTCCATATTAGTTTTGTGGTGCGATATCAGCAGCGTGTCGTCTGCGTGCAAGATATCATCGGTGACTACATAATCTGGTTCTGGCTCCAAATGTAAATTTGCGAATGCGTCGTGGAGCATGACTGTTTGCATAATGATAAACGAATATGGTGATAGCGGGCACCCCTGGGCTATTCCAACTTGTTGCCGCCGTTCCGAGGAACATCCTGTGTGGTACGTCATCGTGAAAGATCTTGCGCTGTAAATCGACCTTAACATTTGCACCATTTCCACAGGCAGCCCAAAGCGTTGTAAGGATTCACACATACAATCGGGCTTCACTCGGTCGAAAGCTTTGGCCCAATCCAACATCAACAAGGGAACCCCACCATCGTCCCTTTGATGAGTTGCATCGATCATGCGCCGGACTAACATGAGTGCGTCTGCGGGGCCGCGCTGTAGTCGGAAGCCATATTGCGAATGTCTCATTCTGGATTCGCTCCCTCTTTCGAGTAACGACGCCACAACTTTGTAGCCAACAGCTAATAATGATATCGGTCTGTAGTTCTCAGGTAATGCACAATCCCCCTTTTTGAATAATAACACGATGTTAGCGCGCCTCCAGGAATCAGGGATAACCTTCGCATTCCAGTATTGTTGACACATGTGCAGAAGGATATCGCAAGCGTGACATGGGCATCTTCCAGAATTCTGGTGGTATGTCGTCTGGTCCTGCTGCTTTGCCTCCCTTTAGTCCGCGCAGAGCTTCTGCCAATGCTTCGGCTGTGAATGCTGCGGCATTCACTGGAAGCTCATCGCCTAGCTTTTCGTTGCTGCTTCGCTGGACGTCGCCAAATTTGTACTGCCAGCTCACTGTTTCAAAATAGTCCGCTTAAACATCTGCTTGCTCAGCTGTGTCCGATAATGCCCTATCTGGTTTCTTGATGCTCGTGTGATTCACTACTTTTGGTTTTAGCAAGAACCGCACGGCTGACCAACTGGCTGACCCCACCAAGTCATCCAACCATTTTGCTCGGTCTCGCTTACCAGATTTCCGCACCAGTGCATTCAATCGTTTCTCTTGAAAGTGGTCTCCATTTGTCCGGCAATCATTTCTCTGGGAAATCAATTCTAAAGTGTCTTGGCTTGTCCATTTTTGTTTCGCTTGCCGCTTCACCTCCGGATCCTTGAACGCTTGCTTGTGCCAACACTGTTTGCGCGATGCCGATTCATTTTGAAACTGTACGGTGGTTTCAAATATTTCCCAAAATTGGTGAGAATTCAAAGCCGCGCCCCTATACAGCCCAGCAATCACTGATTAGATACTTTTGCGTCTGGTGGCACAAGACATGATTGATCTGCGAGAACTTCGAAGAGGTAAGATCCAGATCTTTCGGGTGGTCCCGATACTCCGGCAGGTGACCTTCATGTCGTCAGGGTTGTCAAAGTATGTGTTAAGCACGGCTAAATCGTGTTGGACACAGCACTCCACCAGAAGATGTCGATTCGATATTTGGTTTCCTTTGGTCCCCGATTCGCTTGTACCTCCCAAGCTTCGACGAAAAACATGGGGCCCTATGATCTCCTCCTCCCCAGCCCCGACGTACACCTCGCTCGATGCTTAAGAAAACGCAGTTTTACAGCCAGAGTCCCGAAATTTCTTGTCCTAAATCACCGGCGCTGGGCAGACCCTGAAACTTGATGCTTTCCCGGGGTCGTGTGGGCGCCCACTTGGGCCCCACTTGGATTCGGCTGGGCCCCACTTGGGTTTGGCTCGGGCCCCACTTGGGCCCTGCTTGGATTCGGCTCGGGCCCCACTTGGATTTGGCTCGGGCCCCTCTTGAGCCCCACTTGGATTCGGCTGGAGCCCACTTGGATTTGGCTCGGTCCCCACTTGGGCCCCACTTGGATTCGGCTCGGGCCCCACTTTGGTTGGGCTCGGGCCCC